AAATCTCCGGAATTCTCCACGGCCGTCCAGGTGGAGCTAGAGAGCGCGGGGGCGGCTTCCAGAGCTCTCCCAGTGGAGATCGAAGTAAAGCCATTCTCCTCCAAAGAAGAGCCATCGCCATACGACTCGGAGGATTTGCAGCAGCACCTCCGCCTGGAGCTCCCGGAGGCCGTGATCTCGGCGGAGGCCCTGTTCCTGGCCAGGAGCGTCGACCTCAAGTCCCTGGCGGCGCTGGAGCCGCCGTCGCTGGGTGTGGTGCTCCCGTGCCGCAACCACGTCGTGATCAAGCTCCACGACGCCGACTCCATGGCCCGCGAGGACTACTCGCCCATGCCCGGCTGCCTGAGCAACAACAAGGTGGCGGTGGTGTTCCAGTACGGCTCGGTGGTGCTCTTCAACTTCCACGACCTCTCGCCCGACACCAATCCCATCCTCGCCGCGGTGAAGCGCCACAGCCGCGAGTTCGTGGGCGATCCCCGGAAGGACAACTACCGGGTGGTGGTGATCCCGGGGCTGGACCGCTGGAGCCAGGGGGGCTCGGACAAGATCATGGTGAAGAAGCTGGACATGGACGGCGTCCGGATCATCTCGCTGGTGCTGGGGCAGAGCATCGCGCTGGATCACTACACGCGCAGCATCGACGAGATGCTCAACACATTCGGCGAGCTCAACCGGCATATGGAGCTCACGGGGACGTTCAAAATGCAGCGCAAGGCGCTGTTCAAGCTGGTGGCGGCGGCCAACGCGGCGCTGGCGGACGCCATCCTCCGCCTGGGGCTGCTGGAGCGGTCGGACGCGGCGTGGCAGAGCGCGCGGTACGATCGCATCTGGGAGCACATGAGGGGCGACTTCGAGCTGGACGACCGCTTCGAGAGCCTCGAGTTTAAGATCGGGATCATCCAGCACAACGTCAAGTTCTTCCTGGACATCCTCCAGAACCGCAAGTCGGACACGCTCGAGTGGATCATCATCTTCCTCATCGCCGGGGAGATTTGTGTGGGCGTCTACGACATTTTGAACGGGGCAGGAGCGATCTAGAGCTTTTTTTTGGAAAGAAAAATAAAAAACCCATCGGACATCCGTTTCCTTCTGGAATATGCCCTATCACACTTTCAAGGCTAAGAGAGGTACCCACGATAGAATTACCAGCTCAGGTCCCATAGTCTAGTGGTTACGACATTGGACTTTGAATCCAAGAGCCCGAGTTCGAATCTCGGTGGGACCTTAATTTCATAAGCTTTTTAAAAACTTAATTTCCATTAAGCAAAATGCCTTTTCTAATCCTTTTTGCATTCATGCTTTTTGTTACCCCTTTAACGTTTACACTCGGGGTTAGCGATCAGAACATCGACTCCAATCCAGATCTCGTCCACAAAGGCATTCCAGAATTGGCGATTACATCTGGTCCGGAATCTCCATTGTTGCCGCAGGACGCATGTTTATGTTGTGCAACGATCCCAGCACGCTTTCGCCCAGCATGCTGATGATGGATCGGTTCTGGGAGCTGAGGGCGATGCTGCCACCCAATAATGGATAGTAAATTTTATTATTTTTATATTTGATTTTTACTTTTTTTACTAATGTTGGATAATAATTTAAATTTTCTTAATTTGAAGCCCACAAGTAGTAGTGTCAAGAAGTTCAAAACGTTTCTCATGCCTAACTTAAAGTAGCTTTACATTGATCAGTGTGGATTCCCATCATCGAGTTTGATGCTTGCCCAAGCACTTCATTCTCCATGGCAGGAAGATGAGAGCAAGCAGGACATTTACAGTTTACTTCGAATGCCAGAGCAGATTTGATCGTGATAAGAGATATGCCCTTGCAGGGATCCTGAGAATGCGAGGATTCCATGTCAGCGCAAGAATATTCATATCATGATTCAGATAGAAAGTTTTTACCAGGTAGAGACTAAAATTTTGACACACATATAGTTACCAGATTGACATATAGCTCATCAAATGAAGGCTATAGGGTTCTTGCGCAGTCGAATCCTAATGCAATCAATCGCCTGTTTCCTAACATAAAGAGTGTATTAGTGGACAGGCAAGCCATGGAGGCGAGACATATGATGGTCTCACACCATGGAACCGGAGGCTAGTCACTAGCTACCAAACGGGATGCCACAGATAGTAGAGCTGAGCCTTTGGCTGAAACCACAAATCCCACGCAAGATGAGACTCTGCCCAACTTGCTTCGAGCCAGTGGACGTCGAACATATGATCAACGATTGCTTCATGTACGCCAATCTTTGCCATGCTCCGGTTCCGTGGGGCGCTGATCTCCATCTCATCCTCACACACAAACGGTGGCAATTTTCTGATGAGATGGAGCTCAGCCGCCAGAAGGTGATAGAAGAACTAATGCTCGCCAACACAACCCACCGGCTGCTACAGAACCATGTAAACAGTATATGAAGGGAGGGACCAAGAGTGATAAGGAAATCAATTTTCACACATTGTGGTCTTGTTGCAATGTTACTAATAATCATAATATAAGCATTTGAAACAACATTTGAAGCAAGTCCACTCCATTAAGATTGTATACATATTTATTAATCATTCTTCATGATCAATAGTATGGAGCAAACATCTCTTCAGCTTTCTGAACAAACTTGTTCTTGGAAGTGATGGATTTGTGTTTAGCAATGTTATGGCTGAAACTAGCTGTCAGTTTGCAATCACCACATTGGGTACGATCAAACATGCATTCAGCACCACAAACTGCAATCTTCTTAGTTTTGGGTGTGAGTTGATTTATAATACTGTCCCTTGGTTTAAATTTTCGCATATTGAATTCTACAAGCCAGTCAATGAAAATCAATGTAACGTCAGGAGGTCAAGTCAACAAGTAATACCTCCAGAAATGCCATTCGTGTTACTTTCATGTATTGCATATCGACGACAATCAGACCATGCAAAAAGTTTAATACGGTAAACCTGAACCAAGAAGTTCAATAAAAGGAAAAATCCTTTGGAAGCTATTTTACTAACCTTGAAGTAGGGGTGCTCTATATCAGGATACCTAAGCACTCCTATCTCAAGCATGGTTTTCTCATGGTATTCATGCTGGTAGAATAAATTTATAATGTTCTCAATGTTTGTACCCGTATGAGCAACAATTCTACCCATAATGTTGATGTCAATGCGTGTGGAGTTGAGGATATCAGCATCTGAGATCAGTCCTGTGAACCAACTCTTGACCTGTAGACACGAAGATATAAATACTTATGAAACTCGAACATAGAACATTTACCTCGTTCATCACAGTTTGCCTAGGTGATCCATCAGTGTTGAGCCAGTAAGTGTCATCCTTTGTATATTTAGTAGCTCTTGTAGTAGGATCATCAAACGGCTCAAGCACAGGGTTTTGCAGGAAGAGTGATTGAACTTTATCCCATGTACGTTCATCATGTGATAGCTTGCCGAGTTGCACATGAACTCCTGCTATCATGACCTTTAGATGGTCATCCATGAATTTGACTTCCTCCGTGCTGAGTGTCCCATATGCAGGAGCCAATCCGATGTTAAGATAATCCTGGACATTCGAGTCGACAATGTTGACCTGGCATATATGACCATTAGTCAAATGCTAACTAAAACTGAATGCATCACCTTGCTGAAGTCAAAATGCTGGATGATATCGCCAATTGGGCTTAACCCACCAAAGATACTAACAATTGTAGGGATCAGCTGAAATTGGGCATTTGCACTCGAGATAAAGCTTATAACTGCAAGAAGAACTGGGATGAGCTTACCCATGATCTTTTGCCAAATTATATCCATCAACCTAAGTATTTATAAGACAAGCATACCTTAGTGGTAGTACTATTAGTAGTGACTCAAATTGTTCAAATTCTCCAACAACCTGAATGGACAAAATAGTTATTCCCAACATAGAGCTACAGTAATGGTATAACTTTAATGGACAAAATAGTTATTCCCAACATAGAGCCACACTAATAGTGGTTCTTGTGAAAACAAAGAAAGTCAAGGAAGATTACCAAGAAAATATTCTAAATTCATAGAGGAAGATCAGTTGTTTTATTTATTTACTGGCTTCATTAAGAAATCTAAACAACTGCAGTTTGGGAGAAGGGACCAGCTGCAACCATACTGCATAACACAATAATATGTTGTCATATATGAAGTCACTAATCATAAAGTTTCTTAAATTGTCCATTAAAAATTAAGTTGAACAAAAACAATCAAACAATATTTCCAGAATTTATAGTAAAATTTATTTCATTTGTTAAGAGTTTATGCATATTATACAGAGTTTTCAAATTGTGAACATGGATTTGGCTTCATTAGCAGCCTTTGCCTGAATTTCCTTCTTCATCCCAGATATGACGCTTGTTCTCGGTTTAAACTCACGGTAGTAAAACTCTGCGCAACATAAACAACTCAATAGAGCCAAAGAGAATGAATAAACTACATGGTTACCTCCAGTAATGCCATTAGTTGCCTTCTCCACGCCTAAGACGAGCGTGCTATCAGCCCAAACAGTCAGCTGTAGATGGTACAACTATATCACAAAATGAAAGAAAAAACGTTAATGGTAATGTTGTATCAAGTTTCCTGCTAACCTTAAAGAGCTTATCTATGGAGTCTGGATATCTCAGCACTCCAATATCAACCATGGTCTTTTCATGATACTGGTGCTTGTAGATTGTTAAGAACTTCGGAACTTCAGAGCCTGCATATGCCACAATCTGAGGGAGAGCATCAGATTGAATCCTGGTGGAGGCAAGGACGTCATTGTCCTGGATAAGTTTCTCAAAGAACCATGTCTTCAGCTGTTCAAAGGGAAGAACAATTATATATTACAATTCATATGAGACAAGGATTGAACTGTTCTTTACCTCCTGGAAAACTTCAGGTCGCAGAGATTTATCAAACTGTAAGTAGTTTGTGTCGTCTCTTATATACTTGTCAGACCTTCTGATTCCTGCATCTACTGCCTCAAGGAACGGATTCTGCGACATGACCGACTCTACTTTGCTCCATGTACGTGCTGTGCCATCCAACTTCGAAATCACCCTGTTTGTTCCAGCAATAGCGATTAACAGATTAGTGTCCAGACTCTTGATGGTTTCTGCATTCAGATCGCCAAAAGCTGGAGCTAAGCCAACGGATAGGGAGTCTTGACCAGAAGAATCAGTCTGCAAAGGTTAAATTCAGTAAAAGACTTGGATCTAAACGACAACCTGGGCGAAATTAAACTTCGACACAATATCTCCAATTTGATCAAAGGAACCGAAGATACTTTTGATGGTCGGAGCAGTCGCTTGAGCATTCACACAAAGGATAGCAGTAAGCAAAATAAAAAACGAGGACATTGCAACTGCCTTCATCTTGCAAACGGCACTCATTCTCAACAAACTTGCATCAGTTAAATACACATGTCCAATTTGCTAAGGATATCGTTCAAATCCCCCTGGTGGTACCGCCACTTGCGAGCATATTAACACTTTCTAAGTGCGGAATTTTAAACGATAACCAAATCATTCACCCAACAGCAACACAAGGAATGGAAACATCACATCAAAGTTTGAGAATCTGAAGAACAATAACAATCACCAGAAGAAAGAAAATACTTTCACAATGCACTCGGTTTCAGCATTTTTACAAAGTCGCAGGAAATGCTGGTTCAGCTGGACCTTTTTCTTTCCTTGAAGTGAGTGCTCTGTAACTTTGGATACACCCCCGAACGAATATAAAACATAACACCCGAGGACTGAACTATCCTTTCATCGGAATCAACACGCTAAATGGCAGCAAAACAGTGGCAAGCACCGTGACCAAGTGACCAACGAGTGAGTGCCTGTAAAATTTGCAGCTTACCCGGTGCAAAACTCGCAATGTACAGGTCTGCTGGAGCATATTCTGTAAGGAAGTGGACATATTTGGCCAGTAGGGAGTGGCGTCCTCAGCCAAAGCTGTTGATTCAGGACTTGTATACTCTGGACTATTGATCTTATACTGTTTCGGTTGTGTGGTTTTGTGTCATGGTTTCTGGTGGATCTTATTTTTTTATGAGTTCGCCCTCGATCAATATCTAGTGAAAAAAAAGAGCGCGCACTATGAATTCGCCCTCGATCAATATCTAGTGAAAAAAAAGAGCGCGCACTATGAATTCGCTCTCGATTAATATCTAGCGAAAAAAAAAAGAGCGCGTGATCCCTTCACTGGCGAGAGCTGGAGCTGTAGCGATGCTCGGTTACCCGCCTGACGCGATGTGCCCCGCATTATCAGCCACGTCATCACCCCCCTCCGAGGATAACACCATGCTGACTCCCACCTTGAAGCGGGCGCGCTCATATTAACAAGTCTCTCGCAAGGCTTTATATATCACGATAAAGCAATGAAGCTTGGGCATGTGGGATAGGGCACTCTAGTTAGGGCCGCAGTATATTCTTTGTTCGAGTATAACATAAAGAAAAAGGTGTGCTTGTCAGGAATGGGATTCGAACCCATGCCCTTGCGGACTAGTACCTGAAACTAGCGCCTTAGACCAACTCGGCCATCCTGACCACGTTGTGAAAACAAGAAAAGCCCTATACTCATACTGATAACTCTCAAATCGCAAAGCAGGGTTCTTTTTAGGGCTTATACACCCTCCAGTGAGAGAGAGATCCACCAATTCGATAGATCGATTCCGTGGCGTGGTGCGCAGGCGAAACAAGGTATGTTGTCTGGCAGGCAGTCGCTGCTGCGATCAGCGGCGCCGCTGTGGCGCTGCGCCACCAGCAGCGGCGGCATCCGGCGGCGATGCTACGCCGAGGAGGCGAAAAAAGACACGCCCACCAACAAGGCAGTGGAGGCATTCAAAGAAATGTGGTCTAAGGTGGCTCCCAACCTCGACTTCCCCAAGACGCCCCACGAATCTATGGCGTCGCGGCCCCCTGTGCCCCCAGCCATCCCCGAAAAGCTCACCGTGAACTTCGTCTTGCCTTCCGAGGTAGCCATGAACGCCGAGAAGGTACAAAAAGAATTTTTTCCTCTCTTTTTGTGCTGCTTCCTTCGCATGCGAGTATCTTGCTTGAGCTCCATTCCATGGCTTCTTCCAGATTTTAAGCTTTTCTCCTTACTTTTGCTTTCGTTTGTAGTTGTAAGCTCGTCCAGTTCCTGGATGCTTTGCTTGGATGCTTTCGCTAGCTTTCTCTTTCGAGCTCGGTGCTAACTTTTCTTGGTGTAGTGAGAGCTTTTATCCAAGTTTTCAAATCTTTGACTTGGTTTTCTCAGGTGGATATGGTGATCCTGCCAGCGACGAGCGGTCTCATGGGTGTGCTGCCCGGTCACGTCCCCACCATAGCCGAGCTCAAGCCGGGCGTTCTGTCCGTCCACGATGGCGGCCAGGTAAAGACGCAGTACTTCCTCAGCAGCGGCTTTGCCTTTGTCCACGCGAACTCGGTCACCGATATCGTCGTCGTCGAGGCTGCGCCGCTCGACCGGTTTGATCCCGACGAAGTAAGGAAGAACCTCGCGGATTACAACCAAAAGCTGAGCTCCGCCACCACGGACCTTGACAAGGCTCAGGCACAGATTGGAGTGGACGTTTTCGGGTCGCTGGCTTTCGCGCTAGGCGTCACGGCTTGAGGAGAGCTCTTGGTTACCGCTGGTGCCGGGTTTTGGTGGTGGATGATGATGATCAACGAACGAGAGATCGTGGTGACAAACTTGATGGTTGAGGACATTTCCTTCGCTTCTTCTATTTTCTTGAGCTTGAATAAGAAAGCTCGCAGGACCTTTTTGTTGCTGGCTTGTGTAACAGAACACAACAAAACGATTTCCTCCCTTGAGTGAGACACTGTTTGATGATAAAGTTGAGGTCACTAAATCTCTTACCTTTTGCTCACTGTTTCTCCTCCTCAGCCTCCTCCTCGGACACCTCGGGCTCTTCTTCCTCTTCCTCTTTCGTTTGTTTCTCCTCCTCGTCCTCGGGTGGTAAAACCAGCTGCCTCAAATTGTATTTCGCGAGCTCTTTGTATCCACTCAGGACTCCAATGCCGCAAGTCGTCTGGCAAAAGCAGTTTCTTATCAACCTTAGCCGCTGCAAAGAACCGGTTGAATTACCTTCGCGACTTGGACGATGATCGTCTTTTGCGGCGCTTTGAGGTCCACCGCGTGAGGCTTTGGGACGAGCTGAGCCACGGCGTCGATCAAAGTCATCCTGTCAAGCCCTGTGTTTGCCCGGGCTTCGTAAACCACTGCAAACTAGAACGGCTCCAAAGCTCAGATGCAAGCAAAAAGAAAAAGCCACTTTTACCTTGGTCCCTTCGGCAGCTTCTGCTGGGAAGTGCTTGAGAATCAGCGGCTGGGCAGCGATCTTCACTTCCTCGGCGGATGCGTAGCATGTCACTTCCATCGGTAGCAGCTTCATGCAAAACCTGTCGACGAGCAGCATTAGAATGAAGCTAGCATAGCGCAGGAGAGGAGGAACCTTGTCCTGGATTTCTTAGTGCTGGCTACCATGCGAACGATTGACTCGGCAAGTTCCACGGGGCCGATCGACGCTTTCACCATCTCGATGAAAACCACGCCATTACACCCCGTCTCAGAACTTACAAACCGCGCCTGTATCTTCCAGTCATCCTCGGAGGAAAGAAGAACAAAAAAAAAAAGGATCGCTTACATTCTTCTTGTCTCGGAGCTCGACGATCTCCTCCTTCAAAAGCTCGTCAAAGTTCTTCTCAGACGCATCGCTAGACTTCGCGGCAGCTTGCTCGCCCTCGGCATTTTCGTCCTCCGCGACGCTGATGACACCGCCAAGATCCTCGAAATACTGCGATCGATCGATCAAGGAGAGAATTTCGTCCCAAAACCATGGCCTACCCGCTCAAGCAGATTGATGGATTCCCGGGAACACTGGCGCTCCCTCCCTCCATCGCAGGTGATGAGGAAGCCTTGGCGCCCAATGGGGATAGAAGCACCGCCGCGCTTGCGCTTGGATCCCTAAAATCACGCGAAATTTCCATCGGGGAAGGAGAAATCTATCCACGCAAACTCACGTATGCCATGTACTTCGAACGGCGCCTCTTGTCCTCCGCCATGGCTCGTTCTAGGGCGTTTATTCAGCCCTAGTCATAGTTTTTAAACAGTCAGTTTAAAAAGTCAATGGTCAACGGTCAGCTCTAAGCACTTTTTTTAAGGGTCAGCTCTATTTTCTACGGTCAGCCACGACAAATACCCTTTTAAAAAACCCTGTCGGGTCAGCCCTAGTCCTAGACAACGGTCAGCTTTCTAATATTTTTCTACGGTCAACTGGCAATGAAATGCAAAAAGTTTGTTCTTAAGAGACGGCCACTTTGCTATCCATGGAAGCCAAGTCGGCGGCGATTCGATCGAGCTGGCCCTTGACAGTGAGATCGATGACGAGCGACGCGCCGGGGCCATACTTGACCTTGAACCCCGCGATCACGGATGGATCCACCTCGTTCTTGATCTTGACGTTCTTGGCCTTGGAGAGGCTCCGGATCTTCTTGGCGATCTCCGCGAGTTGCGAGTTGTCGATCTTCACCGCGGACGTGACCACCGCGATCTCGGTGTCGGTCAGCTTGTAGTAGCTCGTCTCGAACGCCTGGAAGATCTTTTTGGCGATGCCCACCCGGCGCTTGTCCACCAGCACGAACAGGAGATTGGTGGTGTAGGCGTGGAGCTTCTCCTCCTTGGCGATGGCCTTGATCACCGATTTCTTGCGCTCCACGTCCGCCACCGGGTTGGCCAGGAACTTGGCCACCTTGGGGTTGTCAAAGTACTTGCCCAGCTTCTCGGTGTCGCCATAGATGGTGTCGAGCACATTCTTGGACTGGGCTAGGTTCGCCAGCGCCGACGCATAGGATTCCTCCACGCCCATCACCACCACCGCGCGGCTGCCGGCTCGATTGCTACTGGATCTTAGCTCCGGGGCCCTGGCGGCCAGCGCGTTCCAGGAGATCCGCGAGGTGCTAGACAGCGCCACTGCTCGGGCGCGAGAGGAATTAGCGATGCCCGCGCGGTGCGCCGCCGCTGTGGCCACTGCTGAGGATGACGATAGCTCCATTGCAGATCGAGATCGATCGAGGTATCGATCCAGGAGAGAATCTCTATTCAATCGATATCTATCTATCCACTGGTACCTCTTCTTCTTCTTCCTTGGCCCCCGTTTGCTCGGGATTGGAGTTTCTCGTTCGATTGGATGTGGCATGGACGAACCAGATGACACTGTTGTCCGGCCACTCGATTCCTGCCACGTGTCGCTCTCTATCCTGCCCAGCCCAAGAACCCCAGACGTCGTCCTCTGTCCTCGGCGTCACCGCATTCTTGTCTCGCGCGCTTGAGCCCTAATGCGAGATAAACCGTGGATGTGCCGTCCACGTGTTCAGAGATTAGATATTTCTCAAAAGCGAGGCATCTTGTGCATATTCGCTCTACGGAACGTGTCTAGCGTACGCACTTTGGCGGGGAGATCTTTGTTTAGGTTGCTACCTAGGGCCGAGAGCGCGGAGGCGCGCTACCGACGAGCAATCGATCGACCGGAAAGATCGAATCGATCGATTGCGTGCTGCGCTAGTTCTGGATTGCGTGCTCGAGTGGAGAATGTTGCGTCTATGAGGTTCTTGTTTAGCGCCAGCGATGATTTCTTCGAGTGAACGGTAGCGGTAGGTGAAAGACTCGTGCTCTAGATCTTCCATGCTCGGGGCTGTCGATATTTCGGCGATGACACCGCGAATCGGGGCGAATTGCTGCCCCTCCCAAGCGTCCGCGATAGAATGTAAGGACTTCTGCCAAGCGGCAACATTTTCTAGATTAGTCCATTGCAAGCTCAAGAGCAGGCGATGGATTCGAAGGCGAGTGTCTTGTTCTCTAAAGAGAGGAGAAGACAGCCACGAGAGTAGCTCGGAGACGAGGACGAAATCCTCGCAGAAGTCTGGGTTTTGGAACGAGACGGAGATTGGGAAACTGGTTGGGCCATTGATTCATGTTCTCAATGGTTCTGCCAAGCCCGAGGCCGAGAGTTCCTTGCCGCCAACCCCGAGTCAGGTCGATGATTTTCCTGGGAAGATCGTCCAGGTGCTGAGTGGAACGTCATCGCCATGGTCGCCATCTCAAGTATCTCAGTTCAAGAAAACACTGCGGTGGGCCGAAAATGAGTCTCTCAAGGTGAGTTGTTCTGCTTGGAAGATTTCCTCGTTCTTAGATCTTCCATTGGATCTTGCAGTTCGCTCGTAAAATTGGGAAAGGGATGTTCGTGGTGGCAGCGACAGGAGCCATTCTAGCTACTGGATTACAGCTTTCAGGTGTGTCATTCGTGCTACCATTATTGAGTTTTAGCTTTGTTTTTGAAGATGGTGATCCAAGACTCGAAAGCTGGCTATGGTTCAGCTGGCTCGCTGGCCTAGTTATTGGAAGTATGATAGGCTCAAAACACGTACTAGAGAGCAACGCGAAGCCGGGGCCTCTTAACATTGTGATCACTGGAAGGTTTCTTCGTTGAGTGTTTTTTCTGAAGATTTTTTGTAACTCTGGAAAACGTGCAGTACCCGTGGTCTTGGAAAAGCACTGGCTCGAGAATTTCTAAGAGCTGGAGACAACGTCATCGTTGCTTCCCGCAGGTTGGTGTTTGAGTTTGTTAAGGATGAACTTACTAGTTTATCTTCGACAGTCATTCGTCCGTTGCCTCCACGGTGGAAGAGCTGACCCAAGAGCTTGAAGAGTCGAGCAGGAACACTTCGACAGCTTTAAGTTGGCCCGAAAAGAATCACACAAAAATGTCCGGGAAAGTTGTGGGAACAACCTGCAACGTGTCGAACAGCGACGAAGTGAAAGCTTTAGCTGAAGTCGCAATGGAAAAGTTTGGAAGCATTGATATCTGGGTGAAGTATCTCGAGACATTTTATTACAAAGCATTCGATTGACCAAGCTTTTGTTCGAGCAGATTAACAACGCCGGTGTCAACAAGGGGTTTAAACCACTGACAGACTTTGACGACGAAGAGATCGAACAGGTTCGCTACGAAATTTACGTCTGGTTTGAAGCAGCTGACAGATGACGTTCCAGATTGTTTCAACAAATCTCGTTGGATCAATGATTTGCACTCGTGAAGCAATCCGCGTGATGAAAAAGCAACCAAAGAAGGGTCATATATTCAACATGGATGGCGCTGGCTCGAATGGTGCAGGCACTCCATTAACAGCAGTGTAAGTAGTGATCTGTCTCAATGGAGGTTTTTATGTGTTTCATACAATATTGTAGATACGGAGCCAGCAAAAGTGGGCTTCGACAGCTTCACGAGTCCCTGCGAAAGGAATGCAGGGGCTCTCGCGTTGGAATTCACACCGCATCTCCTGGCATGGTTCTTACAGACCTCCTACTAAGGTACTCTAAATTCTTTCTTAAAAGTTTGAAATTCTAAATCGTTGTTCTAGTGGAGCATCTCTTCACAACAAGAAGATGTTCAACATCATCTGCGAGCAGCCGGAAACCGTTGCTCGCGACCTCGTCCCCAAGATGCGGCGCGTGAAAGGAACAGGAAAGGCCATCGAGTACCTCACTCCACCGAGAATCATTCTCGCCATCATCACGGCGTGGTTGCATCGCGGTCGCTGGTTCGATGAAGAGGTCCGTATAAAGACTCAAAGTTTAGACCCTCTCGTCGCGAGCCTGACTAGAATTTTTGCTTTACCATCCAGGGAAGAGCAGTGTATGCGGCCGAAGCCGATCGCTTGAGAGTGTGGGCGGAGGAACGGCAGCGCTCCAATTTCGCTTCGGCCATGGAGACCGTTCCCAGCGGCACTTGGGTCTCACTCTTCTCTTCCTCAGTCATTTGTGCATACATTATTCTCGCCAACGCTGACAGCAATCTCCCTGGGACGTAAAGAGCTCGTTCGTGTAAGCTTCTTTTATAGAAATAGAATAGCTATGACAGGTCCATTGGTTTATCTCGAAAAGGATTTGCAAACTTTGCAGTGGCAGCTCCCACCAAGGACTGCTGGCAAGTCTTCACTGTCGATCGCCTCCAGTAAGCTCTCGCTGCCATCGCCCCTGTGGATGCTGATCTTCTTCCTCGTCTTTTCGTCCATGAAGGGCCCCAGGAGCTGCCAGACGATCTTGAAAGACACTGGAGCATTCACGATGATCACTTGTCCCAGGTACTCCGGGTAGTACTGGGAGAAGACGTGAGCAAAATGGGAGAGGATCTTTCTCACTCGAGAATTCGTGAAGGTGGAGATCCCCTGCCAAGACCATGGATCGATCGAATGATAATTGGAAGAAAGAAAAGAAGATCTAGAGCAGTGTGACTTACAACGTTTTTGAGATCGATCACGATTGTCACACGGCCGACGTGATGGCCGGCGTCCCTGGAGCAAGCCGGGAGCTTGTTTTGGTGGAGATCCTCGAGAACCCATAGCCCACGCCGGATCAGGCGCTCCTCGCTCGTCGCCTCGAACAAAGCTTCCACATTCAATCTTAGAAAACCAAACAAAACGATTAGATTCCCATTCCCAGGGGAAAAGAAGCTGGATCCATCCATGGATCGAAACGCTGGACGATCGCATACCTCGAGAAGAGCTGGATGTTGACAGGGCGGCCTCGCTTGTCAGTCTTGTGCCACGCTTGAGGCCACGCCTCAATCACGCGCTCCAGCTCCGGGTACGAGAAATCCTGCGAGAGAGGAGAAACTCCTCCAGCGATCCCGCAAACCCTGTCGAAAATTTTCTTACCTCCAGCACCGAATCCACCGATTGCTCCTTGTGCCACCGGACGAATTCCTCGTACATGGCTGCCGCCTTGGGCACGTCGAGCATCCTTGCACGGAGAAATCGCAGCAGGAGCTCGTCATTGTCGCGGCCGGGGGGGCAATGCAATCCCTTCTTTTCGACACAGATCCGGAATTCTCCCAATGATGCCGCCTCCGGTCCTGAGACAGCGCTGTCGTCAAACATTGGATCCAAGGAGAATCTCCTGCAAGCATATTATTGTCATCAGGTTTGTAACATTACATTGATTGGACCTTTTTAAGAACTAACCTCTGGAACTCTTCCCTCCTCTTTCCTCTTGCGGCGAGAGGAGATTTCACCATCCTCTTGCTCTAGATCCCGTTTTAATATGTTCTTCGCTCCACCATCATTGTTGGAACGCTCTCCTGCGGAAGGGACCATTTGATCGATACCACCGCCTTTGATTCTCGCCATCGGCATTTTGGTGTTTCCATCCATAGATTTCCTGCTGGTGCTTGCAGCGCCATAATCTTCTTCTTCCTCCTCTTGGCTACAAAGATTTAAATCAAGGCAAGCACCACCCTTACCTGAAACCGGTGCTGTAGCACTCTTTTTCCACATCTCATCAAGTGCTTGTTGTTGCCTGTAATACGCGGCCGCTACTTCTACTATTGGCCTTGGATAATTTGATCCCAGCTCGACACCAGCGGCTCTCAAAATAGTTGAGGGAGCATCCCATGGGTGGTGAATCCAATCTATGGGAACTCTTGATAATTCGGGTAGCCATTTCCGAACGTACTCTCCCTTGGGATCCAACTTGTATCCTTCTTCCTGATTTGGATCAAATATATAAACTGAGATGTTTATAAGAGAAAAACTATACTTACCTGCGGATTTTCCCATCGATCAAGCTCATGGCCGTCCGGCAAGCCTCCGGAAATGTACTGCCAGCCAAGAACATCATTTTCCACATCTGCATCAAGCAATGTCTCCCAGAAGTACTTCATTCCCCAAGTCCATGGAACCTGGAGAAATTTAACCAGAAAGCTCGAGACCACAACTCGGATTTTGCAATGCAGCCAGCCAGTAGCCCACAGCTGCCTCATCCCTGCATCTACCAAAGGATATCCGGTTCGCCCCTGCCTCCAGCTCTTGAAATATCCCTCGTCGGCCCTCCATGGAAAGTGTTTGAGGTTTGCCAAGAGAGATCTCTTGTGAGTAAACGGGAAATTGAAGCTCAAGTACCTCGAGTATTCTCGTAACCCAAGAGCTCGAAGAAACATGTTCATGCTTTCAACGTCCACGGCTTCTTTGGATCGAAACTGCTGCATCCGAATAGAATAGAAAATCTTGCGGATGCTGATCTCGCCAAAGTGAAGATGCGGCGACAACTGTGAAGTTGTGACACTGTCAATCTGCTTGCGACGGATAGAATATTGTAAAATCGGCCCTGAGAGAAAATCTGTGAAAGCTTTGTCTCCTGCACACCAGCCAGGAGTCCAGCTTCTGGCCAGCAGCGCGTTGCTACTCTTTTCAGCTTCATTTTCCAGGCCGAGTTGATCGATAGAGCAGCTCTGACAAAGATATCCTGCAAAATCCAGGTAAAAACTACCAGTTCCAGCAAAACAAAATATCGAATCTTGGAATATTAATGGTTACCCGGAAGCGATAGCAATTGTCTGGGAGGCAAGAGTGGGGCTTCAGGGTCCCGCATGCTCAAACTCTTGCTCCAGAAAGCTTGAAATGTTGTGAAGACTTGCCCCTGATCGTCATAAATCTCCCACGGCTCATAAAGCAAATCTCCCCGAAAGGTTTTGACAGAGATTCCATGGTCTGCCAGGCCTTGCTTCACTCTGTGATCGCGGATCAAGGACACAGGATCTGAAACATCGTGTAGCCAATAGGTGGAATGAATGAAAGAAAAAAGCAAAGCAAAGCAAAGCAAAGAAAAGATGGTCACGTACCGTACAAGTGATTGTAAAAGACTTGCGAGGCGCCCGTGTCGTGGGCGATTTGCAGCAGTGCGTCGAGCGTCCCAGCGGTGCGCCTCACAAGCAGCGGGGCTCCCAAGCGCTCCAGCGAAGAACTTAGCTGGATCAAGCTCTGTTTGAGCCACCAGCGCGACACTCTCCCGGGCTGGAACTGGCCCTCCTCCTCCGGACACCAGACAAACACCGGCACAACGATGGATCCCTTCCTCGCCACTGCCGCTGCAAGCGCTGGATTGTCGTCCAGCCTCAGATCCCTACGAAACCACACCAAAATCGTGCATGCGGCCGGCGGCGATGCTCCGGATTCTCCTTCCTCCCCCGCGGATGCTCCGCCCTCCATGGATTCGTGATCTAGCAGCTGGCTAGAATATCATAGATCGAGAGGAGGAGAAGTGCGACAGATCTAACCGAATCGATGCCTTTCCAGTCGCTAGCAGGGATTATATCAGCTGGGAATAGAGGGAATCCCAAATTCCAGAGCAAATCCCTGTGACAGTAGCAGGGTGCCCATGACCGTTCTAGTCGGATCATGTTCGACGCATCGTCGCATCGCAGCCGTGGATCTACGCCGCACGGAATGTCCGGGGCATATTCTGTCACTAGGTGGTCCATTTTCACGCTATGGAGGAGTGGAAGCATCGCCTCCTTCCCAAGGAGGAGAATGCCGACATGGAGGAGCGCGAGAATGAGATGGCTCAGCTGCGCCAATCCATCGATCGCGTCTCGATGCTGCTCAAGGCGCGCAAGGCCGGGCAGAATTGGCGCTCCAAATCATCCACCCTAGGATCGTCACGCCCCAGCGGCGATGACCACGAGTCCCACCGCGATTCTTCCTCGAATTCCTCCTCCTCCTCCTGGCGCCATAATCTGCGAGGCGCGCTCGAATCCACGCCGGCGCACGTCACGATCGTGGCGCTGCTGCTCATCGATCTCCTGGCCACGGCCGTGGATCTGCTGCTCACGATCCACAACACCTCCGCCGACCTCCGCGAGTGCTCCGCCTCGGTCCGGGCATGCCAGTGCGATCCCACCGGATTCAGCAGCGGCCGCGAGCCGTGGGAGTTCTTGCACTGGATCAGCGTGGGCATCCTGGGCGTCTTGATGCTCAACGTGATAGGGTTGATGGTCGCGTTTGGGGCATCGTTCTTCAAGCACGCTGGCTACGTACTGGATCTGTTCGTGGTCACCAGTGCGCTGGTGCTGGAGGTGTTCTTCCAGGCGGACACGGCAGGGCTGCTCATCATCCTCAACCTGTGGCGGATCGTGCGCGTGGCGCACGGGATCTTCGAGGTGACCGACGAGGCGTGGGAGAATGAGATCGAGGACATGAAGGAGCGGATCGAGGGCGCGGAGGAGCGATTCAATCGGGAATGCGGCGCCAGGGATCGCCGGATCCAGCAGCTCGAGGCGCAGCTCGCCGCCGCCAAGACTCAAAATCTAGACGACGTGTTGTGACACGTCGTGCTGGCGTGTCTGACACGCGTGCCAGCATGCTAACTTGGCACATGCCATGTGTGTGCCGACGTGGTAATTGTTTTCATTTATTTACTTCCAAAAGACAAACAATAAGGAAGCTCTGTTTTCAGGGCTGGGTAAAAGGAGAATTTAGGGTTCTTCGCGGATGGAAACGCCACAGGCGGGAGGAGCTGGCCATGGCGACGACGCGTGGAGGGGCAGCAGCTGCGATCCGGCATTGCCCTTGGAGTCGGATCCCAAGAGGCAGCAGCAGCAGCAGGGCGAAGAGGCGTGGAATTGCGCAGGGGGCGAAGGCGATGATGAGCGCCCGAGGAAGAAGCTGCTGCTCCACGATCCAGCAGCGGCGGGGGCATTGAGCAGCTGGAGCCCTAATCCGGGCCTGGCGGGCGCGGGATTAGCGAATGCGAGCGCGGGGGGCGATGGCGGGGGATGGATGCCCTCGGCGGCGGACAAGATGGAATATTCCATGGAAGCTGACAATGGAAAAAACAACATCCCCCAACTCGTGCTTGAGGAGGAAAGGAAGGAAATGAAGAAGGAGGAGATGGCGATGGCGGCCAGGAAGGAGGGAGCGCCGCCTTTTGTGCCTCCTGCGCTCGTGCCACCGTCTCTCCCTTCTAGGGGTAATTTCGAGCAGCCCATCAAGGAGGAGGCTGGATCGGAGGAGGCTGAGGAGAGGCCCAAGATCATCGCTGCTACTGAGGATGACAAGAGGAAGGCGAGGGATCCCCACCACCACCACCATCACAAGCGGGATCGCGATGGGAACGCCAAGGTCGAAGAGGAGAAGCACGAGGACGTGAAGATGGAGGCTGGAGGAGGCGACGACGCCATCGCCAATAGCACCGGCATCAAAGGCAAGGATAGATCTGTGGAGAACAACGCCGCGACCGAGGACGAGATCATGGAGGACGCTGCTCAGCCCGTTGACAAAGATAAGATTGTCCAGCAGCGGAAAAGGATGTCACGGCAGCGAGGCGAGGGGCGATCGAGGTTTAGATCCAAGGATCGAGAAGGGTATGTGTGCTTTTCTTGCTTCTCTGATCTAAATGCCGGTCTCTTCTTTTTTCTCAGATGGCTCGGTGCTCGTGCTGAATCGTCTGCCGTGACTTACAAGATCGGTGAAGGCCTGCCCGAGCTAGCGAAGCTTTGGAAGGAGAGTGCGTCCAGTTCTTCCGAGGGTGGGAGCAATGGCGGAGCTGCTCCACTTTTGGAAGTGAGAGTGGCTGCTGATCTAGCCACAACATCCAACAGACAGGTCTCGATTCTTCCTTCGTTGTGTGTGCCAAGTACTAAACACCATATCCAGGTTCGTGGGAGCCAACTTTGGGGAACAGACATCTACACCGAGGATTCCGACCTCGTTGCTGGTAAGTTTTTCTCTTCCGTGTTTGTGCAGAGAAGCTGAGGTAACTTTTGGTGCTCACGCAGTTCTCATGCACACCGGCTACTACAGTCCGACTGCATCGCCTCCCCCGTCTTGCATTTCAGAAATTCGAGCAACGCTGCGCGTCCTTCCTCCACAAAACGGTGAGCTTTTTATGGTGTAATATGCAGCAACCTTTTTGTCTTTGGACAGGTTATAAATCAACTTTGAGAAACAGCGTCCGATCGCGTGCCTGGGGCGCTGCCAGCGGCTGCAGCTACAGTATCGAGCGTTGCCGTATTGTGAAGGTAACAAAAAAGTCGTGCTTTCTTTTTGTGGATCTCAGTTTTCTGTTTGTCCTTTCACGTTTTTCTAGTCGGGAGGGGGATTTGCAGATTTGGAACCTTGCTTGAACAGGATGCCAGTTGTAGCTCCAACGCTTGCTCCTGCTGCAATGGAGCGGACCATGACTACACGATCGGCATCATCGGTAGTGTATCATCTCTTAGTTTCTAGTTTTTAATCGCGTTGTTTGATGGCACAGAATGCTCACCGGCAGCAACGGTTTGTTCAAGAAGTTACGATCCAGTATAACTTATGCAATGAGCCCTGGTAGGTTGTTCTCTAGAGATCTTGTTGAGCCTCGTAACAATTCGTTTTCTATGCTCCAGGCTGAAGTACAGCATGAGCATCGTCGCGGACAGGGGCTTGAAGAAGTCACTCTACACGTCTGCGCGTCTCAAAAAGGGAGATGTCCTCTACTTGGAGACGCACTCACACAGGCAAGCCAAAGAAAACGATAGCTTCTCCAAAAGTTTCAAACTCTCTCACGAAAGCGTAATTCACAGGTACGAGCTGTCCTACGATGGCGAGAAGGCATCCTCCAACGGGACAGCCCCAGCTACAACAACAGCGACCTCGTCCCAAGCTCCATCTCAAGCTCCGGAAAAGCCCAGCAAAGATAAAGCGCCCTCGAGCGACAAGGAGAAGCCGCATTCTCACAATGGCTTTTGTGACAAGAACGGGGACTACGCCGAGCACTACAAGTGGGCTCGATGCAACGTCCCTTTGCCGCTGTCCATTGTTCGATCCAAAGGAGTGCCGCTCCCTCCAGATTGCGTCCAGGTGAGTGAGATAAAAAAAAAATCCATGCTTGAGTTCTTGGTTCTCACGCTGCGATTTTTCGTTCTTCGCAGGTTCTCGAGGAGAGTTTGACGTGGGAAGAGGTCCAATGGTCTCCCACTAGCGTTTGGGTCCGCGGCAAAGAATTCCCGCTCGCAAGGGCCCAGTTTCTTTCTCCTGGAGTTTCCCCGTGATGACAATGCAAGGAGATTTTTTTTGTTCCAACTTTACCATTGCCCTAAATTCAAAGAACGGACGGCTACGATTTGAAGTGCCGCAAGCCGAGGTTTAGGGTTTAGGGTTCTAGAAGAATCGCGCCCCGCGCTCTCCCCGCATTCTCTCCATCTCCTCGCTGCGGCGGCGCTACAGCAGCAATGGCGTTCATGTCGCGGCTGGGCGGTTCTTTGAAAGGTGCGCTCAAGCCAAACAGATTAGCGGCCGCTGCGCTTCCGGCGACATACACCTTGAGCCGCGGGTTTTCGTCCAAGCTCTTTATCGGCGGTATGATCCTCGATTGTCTCGGGTGTTTGATGCATTTGATCGATGATTCTCAGGTCTTGCCTGGGGCACCGAGGAGAGAGGGTTGCGAGACGCGTTCAGTCCCTTTGGAGAGATTATAGAAGGTATAAAAGTTTTTCTTGGTCTCTCGCAAATCTCTCGTTGCAGTGAGAGTCATCCAGGATCGAGAGACTGGACGCTCAAGAGGATTTGGTTTCGTGAGCTACATTACCGATCAAGAGGCACAGAAGGCTATGGAAGCCATGGACGGAAGGGTACAGAAAGAACCATGGTTTTGCAAAGAGATAATCTCTTCTCGCCTTTATTTCTTGAAGGTCTTGGATGGTCGCACGATCCGGGTGAATTACGCGACGCAGAGACAGCCCGGTAGCTTTGGCGGCGGCGACGGTGGTGGCTACGGTGGAGGCTACGCCAGCGGTGGCGGGGCATACGGCGGTGGCGGCTTTGGAGGTGGTGGCGAGGGAGGCCTCGAGACAACCAGTGACGCTCCTCCTGGTAAGAACGAGTTTTTTTTTGTTTATTAAGTTAGGTCCTGAGCGATTCTCTCCTTGGTTTTTCCAGAAGAGGAAGAACAGAGAGCTCCTATCACCGGCGGTGGCTATGGAGTGACCACCGGTGGATTGGGCGCGGCAGCAAGTGGAATGGAAGCTCCTCCTTCGCAGCCATCGCCAGGCTATGGAGTCACGACCGGGGGCTATGGCGGCGGCTATGGAGATTCATCCTCGAGCTCCGGTGGTGGCGGCTATGGAGTCTCAAGTAACTCGACCGAGGAAGAATCCAGAGGCTATGGTGTAGGTAGTGGTGGTTTCTAGTTTCTAGTTGTGTGTTCTCTCTATAATTTAGAGCGGTGGTGTTTTAAGTTTGAATTTAAACAGCGTATATTCTCTGGGGTTTAAATTGAAGTGTTGAGAATCTTCTCTCTAGGGTTTATGCCGGCCAAGGTTTAGGGTTTAAGGCGGAGGAGGGATCTCCGGCGCTCGCGAGCGGTGAGCGTTTCTTGTCTCTTAGATTCTGTCCGCGATATCGGCTTGCTTGGCTCCAGGTCGCGATGGCATTCTTGTCGCGGCTGGGCAGCGGTCTGATGAGAAATGCCCTCAAGCCCAAGCGAATCGCGGCTGGCACGGCCTTGCCGGCGACTTACGTTCTCAGCCGGGGATTCGCTTCCAAGCTCTTCGTCGGAGGTTTGTGTGATGCTTTCCCTGGAATTTTCTCTTCTTGTTTCTTCATTTCTTTGATGCTTTCCTATGGATCAGGCCTTTCATGGAACACCACCGACGATACTTTGGGGCAGTCATTCGCTGGCTATGGAGAGATCGTGGAAGGTACGAGAAAGAAGTAGAAAAATGTGGAATGAAAAACTCGCTTTCTCCGTTTGCAGTGAGGGTGATTAGCGATCGCGAGACGGGACGATCCAGGGGCTTTGGATTCGTCACATTCATCAACGATGCGGACGCACAAAAGGCGCTCGAAGGCATGGACGGGAAGGTGATAGACAAACACCAAGTTTGCGTCTAGTGCCTGAAATGGTCTTTTGTTCTACCAGATGCTAGATGGCCGGACTGTCCGCGTGAACTACGCGACGCAAAGACAGCCTAGCGCGTTTGGAGGCGGTGGCTTTGGTGACGGAGGTGGCGGCGGCGGCGCCTATGGTGGCGGAGGCTTTGCGACTGGCGGTGGTGCTTACGGCGGTGGAGGAGGCGCTTACGGAGGTGGCGGCGGTGGTTACAGTGGCGGTGGCGGTGGTGGCTACAGTGGTGGCGGTGGTGGTGACTTTAACAACAACAATTCTTTCGGCACAGGAGGTGGTGGTGGTAATCCATTTGGTGGTAGGCGTTACACTAATGTGGACCCTTTTGGTGGTGTCTTTGATGGTCCAGGAGACGCCTATGGCAACACCACCGCTGAGGAGCAAAGACCACCCCCCACTGGCGCTGGCTTCGGAGTTTCTACCGGCGGCTATGGTGGAAGCCATGCTGATCCGGTCGGAACTGGAACAGGAAACGCCACCGGTGGTGGTTTCGGTGCTGATGCTTCTTCTGGAGGTGGCTACGGTGCATCGTCTGGCACCACCACTGGAGGCTATGGTTCAGGGTATGGTGCTACCACAGGAGGCTATGGTGCTGGAAGCTCCGGTAGTGACGGCGGTGCTGGCTTTGGAGCGAGTAATACAGCAGGGGGCTCGGGTGGCTATGGTGTGAACTCTGGCGGATATGGAGCAGCAACAGGAAACACTGGAGGATTTGGAGCTACAGGCGGAAGCTCTGGAGGATATGGTTCCACAGGAGGCTCCGGTGGCTTTGGAGTTACAGGCGGAAGCTCTGGAGGATATGGAGCTACCACAGGAGGCTCCGGAGGATTTGGAGTTACAGGTGGAAGCTCTGGAGGATATGGAGCTACCACAGGAGGCTCCGGAGGATTTGGAGTTACAGGTGGAAGCTCTGGAGGATATGGAGCTACGACAGGGGGCTCCGGAGGCTTTGGAGCTACAAGCGGAAGCTCTGGAGGATATGGAGCTACCACAGGAGGATACGGAGCTGGAGGCTCTGGACTATATGGAGCTACAACTGGAGGCTCGGATACAACCGGGAGCACTGGAGGAGGATATGGAGTTTCAACCGGAGGCTCGAGCCCAGGAAGCTCTGATGGATCTCTTGTCAGTCCAGGAAGCAGTGGCGGATATGGTGTGAGTTCTGGATCAACCAGCGGAGGCTATGGCGTTTCGGGTCCTGGTGGAAGCGCGGGTGGCGGATATGGCGTCTCGACTCCTGGTGGAAGCTCGGGTGGCGGATATGGCGTGACTACTCCTGGTGGAAGTTCGAGTGGCGGATATGGAGTGACTACTGCTGGTGGAAGCGCCGGTGGCGGATATGGTGTTACTACTCCGAGTGGTGGCTATGGCGTTAGTTCTTCGGCTGGAAGCTCCGGAAGCTCGGGTGGTAGCACTCCGGATGGAAGCTCTGGTGGATATGGTGTTGGCGGTGGCTATGGCGTCGGGAACTCTAGTGGTGGCGGTGTCACTGCTCCCAGCACTGGCGGTTATGTGGTCACAACTGGAGACAACTCAAGCTCAAGTGGGTCTGGCGTGGCCGCAAGTGGGGACAGCTCCGAGGCCCCGGAACTGGGATATGGCGTCGGTAGTGGGTAGTATAAGTAGTAAGGGGAAACAGTAGAAATGGGGCCTACGCGATATTTATAGTGGCTTATGAGATATTTCCACGTGTATCCAAGTAGTGCTTGCCACGTGTAGTAAAGGTTATCTCGGCCAGCGTGGATGACAATCTGGCGTACGTCATCCCACGTCAGCGCGGGCCTAGCTATGCCCGTTTATATGGCTCCTCGCTTGCGTGTGTAGCGCAAACAGCCCTAGCTCTCGCGCGCGCCGGCGCTGGCGCCCCTTTCTTGGCGCATCGAGAGATCGCGAATGCGGCAAGGTCGGTTTTAGGGTTTGCGGCAATGCGCGCAATGGCGTGTGCGAATTTGCCTCTGGCTGCTGCTGCGGAGATGCTTCGCTCCCCGATGCTCACAGGTGAGTGATTAGATTACGTTTCTTTACACGCGCCTCCCTCTCCATCCCTCCTCTCTCTCTCTCTCTCTCGCTTGTTTGACGCGAATTTCACGAAAGAGTTATTCATTGGGCAGTACTATACTTTCTTGTCCACTTTTGAAAAACAAACACTTCTCTTTCCCCCTGGTTGGTTTTCAAGTTTTATCTATTTTTTCTTTTCGCAAACACTGACTGCTCATCCGACTTGGACAGGTGAATTGGAGCATCCAGAGACTCGATCTCCGTGAGAGAGAGCTCCTCCTCCCCCTACGCTGATCGATCATGGTTCGGCTCTCCACATTCTCGTTCCGGTCACAGTGGTCGACTACAGGAACCAAGGACAAGCTGGCAGCCTCGCTCATGGTATGTTTCCATCCAAAACAAAGGAGAGTGGTCTAGTCGGAAAAGCCTTAACGATTACTCTTAGGCGAGGTCACAGCGAGTCGAGGGGCTCGGCACAGGGACAGGAAAGAAGAAAGCAAGCTCAAGGTTGCTCGAGGCTGAGCAATGCTGTCGAGACAGCCCAGGCAGCGGCGGCGGTACCCGCACCAGCACCATGGCCAAGGTGCTGGGCTGCTCAACGAGGACATCCTGGAGCTGGTATTGCGGCACGCCAACTGGAACCCGTACATGCTGTGCGCCATCGCGTGCGTGTGCAAGCCGCTCAACGAGCTCATCAAGCTGGAGATGTGGAAGAAGTTTTGCCTGTCGCGCGCGCCCCGCATGGCGGCCGACCTCTCCTTCGGCGTCAAGAACGACGCCATCGAGATCAACTGGGACAAGCTGGGCAAGCTCATGATCTACTGCGCCGGCTGCCACTCGACGCGCCACTTCAAGTCGCTCTCGCCGCCGGGTGGCGGCCACCTCGTCTTGAAGTCGCGCTTCTCGCGGACGTCGGGGCGGAGCTTCCTCCATCCAAAGTGCCGCTCGGACGTGCTGTACGTGACGGACCTGTGCGAGCACCTGGATGACGAGGAGGACGTGGGCCTCTTCCGCGGGGTGTTCAAGTCGTTCGGGGCGTCCAAGACGCGGCAGATGCTGCTGGACCGCGGGAAGCTGGAGGAGGGGGCGTGCTGCCCGTTTTGCCGGTCGCGGGTGTGGAGCATGATGGAGGCGAGGATGATCCCGCCCAGTGCGCAGCGGCGGCTAGCGTCGTATGACTACGAGAACAGCATCGAGTACCTGGTGTGCATCAACGGCCACCTCACCGGGATGTGCTTGCTCCTGCCGCTACCGGACTCGGACGAGGAGCGCGCGGGTGGCGGCGGTGGCCGAGGTGGAGGTGGTGGCGACGATGGTGGCGGCGACGAGGATGTTGACGACGACAACGAGCCCGCCGCCATGGCCAGGGACAACGGCAAAGCAGTAGCGATCAACAGCAGCAGCGACGATTGCGAGACGGACGTGCGATTGTGATATGAAAGGTTTCTACACCAATCCAGGCACAGTGAGTGTGAGTGTGCGTGTCTGTGTGTGTTTTTTGTGTGAGTACAACTTTCTTCTCTCTCTCTCTCTCTCTCGCTCACTCTCACTCCTCTCTCACACTCTTCTTCGTTTTCATTCCTTTGGTAATTTTTGCTCCTCCAGAATCTCTTTGTTTCGCTTAATCAGCTACTCTTACTCAGCAGCCCGGAAGCTGGATCGATCTAGAAGTCAGCTAGCTGACATTACTTTTACATGTAACATTCTTGTTGCCAAAGAAATGTCAAGGACAGGGAAAGAGAGGAAGAAAAGCATCCTGGAAAAAAAAAAAATTTCCTCTCTCTCCCATTCATTGTCTCTTGCTCGTTTCTTGCGAGACAAGCGAAGCGCGCAAACGAGGAGCAGCAGCACAGCAGCCTTTGCGCGCACTAATCATACAAAACCGTTCGAAACGGTTTTCATGACAACCAAGAACGAAACCAGAAAAGAAGGGTTTCTACCATTGTTCCACTTTTGCGGGACAAGCACGACACAAAACACGCACTGTTGCTTGCTGGGAGGTTTCACGGGATCTGTTACGGAATATACCTCCCTCACTTCCCGGGGCCACCATGGGCCATAAAGACATAACCGAAAGCAAAAAGAATTTCACTAGCGCGGGTGACAGGCCACTCGAAGCGCGAATCATTCCCCGAGCTTGCAAAGGTCTCTGGCTATGGCGGCACAGCCTTTCCACGCTCTCTCTTTCTCGTAGAAATAAAACCATTGTTTGTTTCGTTCGATTCGAGAGCTACCTTTTACATGCTTCTATTTTTCTCTTCCTTTTTTCTTCTGACTTATTTGCCTTTTTCGACCTTACGTTTGACTGATCGCGGCTCTTGATACGCGCTTATGTATCACTTAAGATCTCAAAATCAAGAGAAGAGTAGAGAGAGAGAGAGAGAGAGAGAGAGAGAGAGAGAAGTGGAATGCAAGAACCGGGAGCGAGCAATTAAGCAGCCAGCGCTTCCAAACTCTATATGTAAAGTTACTCGTTCTTGCCTCGCACAGCCTCAGACCAAAAAAAAAACGAGTGAGAGAGGGAGAGATCGAGCAAAGAAAGGGGAGGAGGAAAGAAAGAATTTACTCAGCCACGACTTCCACCACCACCATGTCCGTGTTTTCTCCTTGCGAGCGATGGTGGTGTAACTGGTGTTGTTGGTGTTGTTGTTGTTCACACCTCCGAGAGCCACTCGTGGCCATTGATGAAGTTGATCTGCATGAACGGCCTGGCCTCGTAATCGTTGAGCTCGTGAGACCAACTGACACGGCCCGATTCGCCGGCACCCGGTCCACTGCATTTGTACTGGCCGAAGAAGACCGTCCTGGAGGGAGCAAAAGCTTACAGAGATTAGAAACAGCATCGGGTGAGGAATCTTTCCACGGACCCCTGCTCCAAATCGCGAGGAGCGGCATCCCATGAGACACAAAAGGAAAGCATTTAAAAGGAAAACGAATCCAATACACAGGCAGTCGCAATCCCCGGGACTCGGGACAAAGCAAGCCAACAAGCAGCCAAGAAAACAATGCGGGAATCCCTGCCAAAATCCATGGAGAAAAAACCAAAGCCAATGGCGGAAGCAAGCCTTGTCCAGAAAGAAAAAAAATCCTAGGATGCCGGAGGGAGTTAAGTACCTTTGTCGCTGCGGTTCCCCCCAATCGTACCAGCCTTCGGGGATGATCACATTGTCCATGCGCGTGTTGATGTAGACGATGCGGGAGTAGGCTCCCCAGGCACGCCCCAGAAACACCTGCCCTTTGGATCCGGTGATGGTACAATCCACAAAGACGAAACCGGAGCTGTCGCTGGGATTCCAGCGGTTGTGAGCAGCCAGCGAGCCATACGACTCCGCAATGCTATGGAGCTCACACTCCTGAAGATAAGAAAAGCTAGCGTCAGTTTCCAGATCGGTCGATCACTACTTTTCGAGTAAACTAGAACTTACCCGAAAGATGGATTGGGCATGGCCGAAGATCACGTCAATGGATCCCTCAATGTAGCAATCGCGGAAGTAATGCCTGCCTTGATAGTCGAAGAGGGTGTCTTGAGCGCCGTAGAAGCCGCAGGAGTAAAACGCTTGCATGTCTGCTGCTGCCAGCGCGGCCACCGCTTGCCTGTTCTCTGCTCCTGGAGGTGGTGCTGGTGATCCGTTCTGCTCACCACAATGAATCGCAGAGGAGAAAAAAAAAAAAAACCATTTGTCAAACCAAGCACGAACGCAAAGACATAAAAGCCAAGTACTTGCCTTAAAGCTGATTCCTTTGGCGATGAAACTCGGGGCCCAAGCCGTGAATGTAGCACTGTCGGCCGTGCCCGACCGGCTAGCGGCATCGTTCCATTCGATCGTCGTCTTGTCCCTCCCCGCTCCCTGGAAGATTATGAAGGGCTTGTTGTAGGGGATGATCACCTTCTCCCTGCTCGTCAATCAATCCATTCCGGAATCGTTGCTAGGAATTGCGACAAAGGAGAAATCTTGTTCTTACCTGTAGAGGCCGGCATTGATCTGGACGTAGACCCACTGCTTGTTGTCGAGAGGGATGGAATCCACGGCGGCTTGAATCGTCTTGAAATTCCCATGGCCGTATTGATCCACGATGAGGTACTTGGAGATGGCCATCTGCTTGAAAGGATTCCGAGCCTTGCGATTCTTGTGCATCTGCTGGTTCCACACGCCCCTGCCGTGCCTGATCCTCCCGCCGCGCCGCCGCGCCCAGGAATTGAGCAGCCGGACGGCGGAATCCGGCGCCTTGAAGAAGCTCCTGTGCGCGGGGTGCTCATGCAAGGGAAGAAGCAGGGAGGGAGAGGGAGAAGAAGGAGATTCTTGATGCGCGATGCCGGCGCCGCTGCTGCTGTTCTTGGAGAGGATGCTCGTCAAGGCGGCGGCGGCGCGCGGATGAATCCGGGGATCTTGTTGCCCGCCGGCGGGGACGAGGAGCAAGATTATGGCGAGAGCGGCCGCGGCGACGAAAGATTGGACCTGCATTGTGCGCTTTCTTGCTCCTTCCTGGTTTTCCCGCAAGAAATCCAGCTCTAGAGCGCCATGGCCGCCGGATTGAGCGATCTCACAACGACATCGTTGTCTAGTTGCTGGAGCGCGCGCGCAAGAAGAGAGAGAGGGGAGAGAGAGAGAGAAGAGGGAGAGCTTCTTGCTCGGCCGGAGAAGAAAGACGACTCTGTTGGCCCTAATTTTTCTTTTGCTGACATCCCGTTATTTTATATGGGGAAGGAGGGGCAAAATGCCGGCTCAGGGCATTTTGAGCTTTTTGCCCTAATTTTATATTACCAGCTTGGAAGATTGTATTTGATGGATTGATTCATCCAAGCTCTTTTGGAAGATTGTAATTGATGGATTGATTGATCCAAGTTCCTCTGGAAGATTGTATTTGATGGATCAAGCTCCTGGCTTGCGTACCTTCGCTTCTCTATTTTAATGAATAGAAGAGAAAGAAAGCCCCTTTCGTTTTCTAGAGACTGGGCATATGAACAGTGTGCTGTTAAAAACATAGCATGTTGTGGACATGTTGTGTTGTTGTGGGTGGTGGCGCATCGCATCCAAAGTACACGATTGGTTTGGAGATCGATTTCCATGGGTGAGAGTTTTAGTTGGGCATTTAATCGCATCCTTGGGTTTTCAACACCTTCTTTCTAGGTCTAACCACAAATGCATAAAAGACCTTGCGAGATTTCGAAGCTTCCCCGTCTACCATGATCACGCTCGAAATTGTGGAATATCCACCCAGTCAACTCCTGGTCAAAACCCGTTAAAAGCTGTTTGACCAAACCAAAACCAAAACCACAAACCTACATCGTTGCATTGAAAGAGTGTAGATGGATAGAGCTCTTGGCATCATGAGCTCCAAAGATCCTGTCCCAGAGTATGTGTCAGCGCCGGGGCATGTTAGCCCGTCATGTGTTTGCTGCTCGAGCCAATCCATCACACCAACCGGGGAATAAGAAATTGTTGGAGCGAGCCCGGCGCGACGATCATCAAACCCTAACTCCAGCGTCCCCATCAACTTCTCTACCCAAACGACAAATCTTTACATGCAGTGGACGCGCGAGATCACGACCACGAGCCCTACATTCCAATTGCCAAGGTAGCAATATCAAAATCAATCAAGCACTTGCAAAGGTGTTGGGGGGGCTGGTGTCAATTTTTTCCCCCATCTCCCCCTCCCTTTCCCCGGCAACTAACAGCCTTCCATGTGGAGGGTGGTTTGTTTCTATAACGACCACGCCCCCCCAGAAGGAAAAAAGAAAAAAAGCCATTCACATTTCAACATCCACCACATGCCAAGACTATTCACACCACCGTAACTCGTGATTAAAATTTTTGTCCCTCTTATACCATATACAATGCACGAGATTAAACTTTGGTTATTTTATTCCCACCTTCCGGTCGCTATCAATCATCGCTCCCTCGCCATAGCGTCCCATCCGACGGCCGCCAGCCACCGCCGCGCAACGGTAATGCCCTCCTTGGATTTGGGATATCCTCCCTGCCGTACGGGGATCCATCACCGTCGTACACGTTCCGTTGCGAAATTGTACATTCCGGCGTGGAATCGGCGAGCGGTTGGGATCGCTCCGGATCGTTTGTAATCATCGGCCGTGCGTGGCGTGCCTGCTCCTCGTCTTTGTTTCTTTTAGCAGGGACCGATGCCGAGCTTGCCATACTCGAGCTTGCCTTTGGAGACGCCGATGAGAACTTTGGCCGCGTGTTCTAGCACCGTGTTGTTGATGCTCTTGGCGATGCGCCCCGCGGTTCTAAACTCCTCGGCAGCCTCGGATAGCTTCCTCTGCTGCGTGAAAATGTGGCCGAGCATGTAGTGCCCCCGGGCTTCACCTTCGGTGAAACCGAGCGATTCACAGATTTGCAAGTACCTGGAAGAAACAAACGTTGTTTAAGTTTCGGTGGGACACGCACACCCCACGGAAAAGAAAATGGAAACGAGGACCTTTTCGTGCACAATCTCGATGCTCCTAGTTTTCTTCGTCGCAGTAAGAGGTAGGCCAGGTTGCCGACTGCCACGCTTTGATATTCTGGTCTTCGCATGTATGTCGCACACTTCAAAGCTTTCTGGAAGAAACAGCGGGAAACGTCAAACGAGACAAAAGCGAGGCACTAAACAAAGGAAGTCAACGTACCCTGTGGCTTCGGGCAGCTTCAATCCAATTTCCAAGCGCTGCATGAAGGATTCCAGCGTTGGTGTAAGCCATATATTTCCCTTCGAGATCTGCCAGATGCGCATGCTGTTCGTGGCAAGCGAGTGCCTCCTCATACTGAAACGATATACAACAGCGTGAAGAGCTTTTATACGCTGAATGAATGCAAGCTACTTACTTGCATGATGGCCTCCGTAGACAATTTAAGCTCACCCATAGGTCCGACCTTCTCAACTTTCTCAGTCTTTAGTTTCTTGTCTTGGTCTTCTTGCAGAGAACAAGCTATGAAGTTGTACCCCATTGCTTCCCCTTTGGAATCGCCAGTATTTTGGCAGAGCTCGCAAAACCTTTTGTAGTTCTCCACAGCTCGAGTGTAATCCTGACCTTTGCGTAAAATACACATATGTTCCACATCCGCAACTCATAAACCCGAACAATGCATACCTGGCCATTGTCATAAAGAACACCCAGACAGAGGACAGCTGAGGCTTCCTGTTTCATTTGGCTCGGATCATTCATTCGTCTGATTGATTCCAAGAGCACATTCTTGTCCACAATCTCATCCTTGAATGCACCTATATGGTTCGCACATCATCGACTTGTTACCATGAGAATAGAAAAAGTACAATCTGATATACCGTGGCCTCCCTTTTCAATCGCAGTTTCCTGCTCCTCGGGACTTATCCTAGCTGCCGAACTGTACTCCGGAGGAACGCTGATGCGTAAGAAGCTCGATATTGGCTTGCAGAGTTCCAAGTCTGTGTATAAGAAAATAAGAAACAGCTGCTACTCTCGGGTGTCTACGTACCTGCAAACTGCACACTTTCTTTTGTCTGCCTCAACAAAATCCCAGTCACTTGACGACCCTCGCCATCGAATACTTGCTCATGCCTGTCTAGGAAGAAACGCACGTCTAGAATTCACTACAGTATTAAGGCTCTCACCAAAGTCGTAGTCCAGTGGCTGTTTTGTTAAGCTTTGCACCGATGTTTGACACAGGCGCTCTTAAACCTGGAAGCATCAACGTAGCGCTTGTGAGAAAAATAAAATCTTAGCAGGAGCTGAAATTCACCTTCGGCTCGACCGGGTGGCTTTGTGACCAGAGCTCTTTTGATCCATCCCGGTGTCGTTCCCCGACTGTCCGGCCTTTCTTTGCTTTGCAAGCTCGCGAGAACGTCCTGAAAGAATTATCAACCTCACTCACGCAGTGTTAGAACGCATTCTCGCCTCTTCTTCTTGTTCTTCTTATGCTTCTCGACTTCTCCTACCAGCTAAAACCTATAGAAGCAAACCACCACTGAAGAACTGATTTTCCTTTGTCTTCTCCTTCTTCCACTTCTTTTACTTCTTTCACGCAAAAGCCTTCCCTTTGACGACCAGCGGATGATTCAATAGAGTCTTGCATCCAAGCCTGCTGCTCTCACTCGACATGAAGCACGTCTCACACTGGCAGCACGCACTCTCCCTGGCGATCTGCGGACCCAAAAATCTCCTGGGCTTCACCACAACACCCGACCCAAGAAGACGCTGCTCTGGTTCTATCATCTCAGGTGACCGGGCCCTTACTCTCCATCGCAGCCTCTTCTTGGCCACAAATCCCTCCTGCTCCAGCAAGATTTGCTCCTTCTCCGCCGGCGTCAGCTCCTTCTCCACGATCACAACCTCCTCCTCCTTCTCCAGCCTGTATTTCTTGCCATCCGCGGTGTGCTTCTCCTTGAGCCGCTCCCTCCACGACGACGGGATCTCAAACCCCGTCGAATCCTTCTCATCGAATGGAAGTACCTCCTCGATCGGGATCCGGAGATCCGGCCGGAGGGGATTGATGTCAGGCCTCCTCACCGGCTTGAGCGTGAAATCCAGCGGCTTCCTGTAGGCGCGCTTGCTCTCCTTGTCGTGGAGCTTGTCCTTGAGCCATAGATCCGCCGTGCGCGGATACGTCCCCAGCTGGTGGGCGCCAGAGGCGCCCCTCTTGAGCAGATCGGCTCTCTCTAGCCACCACATTCTCGCCCGGAGAAAGGATCTGCTCGCCTCCTCGCAAGAACCCTAATCGCGGGGCGCTAAGGCCCGTTGGATGGTGTGGATCCAACGGCTTCCGAGCAAGCCCCGCCAAAAGTCACAAGACCTTTTGGCCCTTTAATATCGACCAGATAGAAGATTCGAACCAAGGATCGGTCCGGAGAAAATAATATACAAGGAGAGAAGCTACGCAAACACACACTAGCTTTGCTTCACTTCCTCTTCCATCAAATGCCTCGCAATATTTCTCGACGAAGCTGATACTAGATGGTCCTGAAGAGCACAGGTCGATGATCCTCGCTCCTCCTTGACGTTCAATCTGTTATTCACAGCGGTGCTATCACTCGGAGCATTGGCGCTGCTTCTCTTTGGATTTGCTCCTCCACCACTGCTACCACTGCCTTTACCATCACCACCACTGGTATCACCACCACTAGCATTGTTGCTCGTCGTTGTCCGGCAGTATGGCACGAACCCGGACCTTCTTCTGCCCTTGCTCGCAGAGCTGGAGAGGATAGACGAGAGCAAACTGGTATCCGAGGCCATGCTGGAGATTCCAAAGCTACTGCTGCTGCTGCTGGTCCTGTTGTTCGTGATCTTGTCGATGTCAAGGTTGCTGTTTTGTTTGCTCCACTCGCTGACAGTCTCCAGATCGCTCGTCTCACTCTCTGGCAAAGATTTCCTCTCATGCTGCTGCTGCTGCTGCTGGTCTTGTTGGAAACTGTTCCTCTGAGAAAACGTCTGAGGTAGCTTCTGGTGTGAGAAGAGAGCTTGGAACGCCATTCGGCCCTGGGAAAAAAAGATGGATGTCTTTAAACAGAAAAGGAAACGAAAAGGCTAACCCCTTGAGACACTTCCTTGCGTTGCTCCCCGTCCGAGCCGCTGCTACGAGCCGGCCTTGGATTTCTCTGGAACCTCCGGAACCGAGAGCAGTGATGACTGCTGGCATGCTGGAAGCTTGGAGCTTTGAATGAAGCAGCTTCCTCGGTTAAAGCCTCTTCTCCCTCACTCTTATTCTTGTCGGACGAGGACTCCTCACTCTTCGCCGTGGCTTGAGCGGTGCCGCAGTGCGACGAGTTGGAGCTCGGGCCGCTGTTTCCAGATGCGTCTCCGTCACCATTCCCTTGTCCACCAGCGTCGCAGTGCCCGTTGCCATCGTCGCTTCCAGACGAGGAAGGAGGTTGATCCTCTTTGAGAGATCGCGACTTCACTCGCCTCTTTCCAGCGTCCTTGTTTTCGAAGCTGCTGCTCAGCCTCTTAGAACTCGGTGAAATGTTCGAGTTGTCGTCATCATCTTGTGGCATTTCATCAATGCCATCCGGCTTCCTGTTTTTCGCTCCTCCGTGACGCTGGTCATGCCTGTCCGTCATGTGAACTTCTGGATGAGGAACCATGCACTGAGGAAGGAAAGTCGGCTGTACAGAACCTTGCAATGCCCACCACGCTGAAGCTGCAGCGATCGTTGCAGCAGCAAAAGCAGCAGGGGAGTTGTCTGTGTTGTAGACGTCAGATGGTGTGCCCGTCAATACAGTTCTTATGACGGATGAAGTTAAGTCGTTGACATTGGGCAGGGTTGGCCAGTGTGGTGTCCCTGCCGCTGCCGCAGTATAAACTGAAGGTTGCCACAGAGGAAACGTCGGGTTACCTCCTCGGTCCATCCCCAGGTTGCAGAAGCTATAAGGCGGCGAGACTCTGTCCGAACCTTGCAAGCTCTCCCAAAACTTTGAGTAGTACAGCGCCACCAGCTCCTGTTGTTGATCAGCTACCGTCGAGGTTCCATCCTTGTTTGATCGGTTGTCACTTTGGCCGTTCGAGCTGTCATTCTCGGAAACCAGCATGCTAATGTCTGAGGCATTCTTTTCCCGTACTTCTTCAGATTCAGCGCCTGTAGCATCTTCCGGCACTTGCCCGTTCACCATCACTGCTCGAGTAACCGTAGGGACTACAACTGTATGACCGAATAACTTAAGCTCTTCCTGACATTTTTCCAGTACTTTTTCCATTGCCATAGTGGTAAGGCACTGCACAACCAGAACGATAGTAAAGACCAGCTTCGTAACAAGGAGAACGGCAAAGAAGATCGTACCTGTTTTCCGTCACAATCTGTTATAGGAAGAGCTCCTGGAGAAACTTCCATGCTTGCCTTACGCGGATACGGATGGCTTGGCTTTCGCTTCGGCCTAGGTGGAGGAATATCAATATCTTGAGCCGTACCTGGAACGATGCTTCCAGTTGCCTGTTCTTTTTCCAACTGGAAGGGAAACAAAGAAAAACCCCAAGTTCATTCCAAGTCCTTCAAACTCATTCCTTCAAACGCACCTTCGAGAAGAATTTTTGAGCATGGCTCCTTATCTGGACTGCAGTTTTGGTGCCAATATGTTCTGGAAAGAAAGAAAACTCAAATCAAAACTCCATGGTAAAGCTCTAGAACCTCACCTTCAATCCGACGCCATGCCCGACCATAGAGTTTCAAAGCCTCTAGAAACTTTTGATGTTCTTCTTCCGTCCACCTCTCTCGCTGCTTGGTGATCGTGTATGGCTTCCTTACCTGGATCAAAGGAAACTCCTTTGGTTGCGGACAAAACCAAAGCCCACGCCCACCTTGAAAAGTGAATCATCTCCAACCTCACCGAGCTGGTGCTTCACTGCCGGATCTCCCGGTAGAAAATTGGTTTCATCTCGCCCATCCTATGGCAGTCCCGAAAATCATTCACAAACAATTCCATGAAAGGCGGACCTGGCTGTACTTCCTCGCAGGTAAATCAGTCATCACGATTCCGGCCTCTCGACCATGTGGCAAATCCTCGAAACACTGAAAGAAGAGAGCTAGATCCTCGCATAAACATTGCCCAAAGAGATCATAGATACCGGATAGAACCAAATTGAGATCAACTACCTCTCCAAGCGAGAAATCTCTGAATCACGATAAATCTCTGGCGCCTTCGCTCGGATCGAGAGGATCACTGGCCCCAACGCCGCCTGGATCGCTGCCTCATCGTCGCCTACGCCTCCAAACCCTAGAAACCTCCATGACAACACACGCAGCCACTATGGATGATCCATTCTGGCAAAGGGAAAAATGAAAACAATGCGAGATAAAACTCAAGAGATTTCCTTTTTTTGTTTCTCTCCTTTTTTCCTCTCCGTGTTCTTTTTTCTAGATTGTTTGTTAAAGGAGTGGCTCGTGGAAGAGAACGCATCTCCTGCGCCCTTGCTACCTACCAAGCAAGAAAGCACCTGGTTTTTCGACCCCCTCGCTCTCGTTTGCTCTGATGCGTGCTACCTGCCTACACCGCATCTTCGACTCGGTAGACAGGCAGCAGCCGGTCGTCGATGCTCACTAAGAAATCTATACGGTCAGGATATTTTCCACAGAAAATGCGGTAGTTTCTAACCAGTGGTCTTCTTAAAGAATATTCCTATCCCACTCTATACTGGATAAACGAAATTTTTTATCAATGCTTTATCACGACCAGATTTTGCGGGATTTCATTTCTAGGAAAGCCAGCCACACGCTCCAGCCAAGCCCACACAGCCACAAATGTGCGCTACGGCGGCTTTACACTTTTTCCTCGTGGGGCTCATAGAACGCCACGTCGGTGCGTAAAATATCTGCTCATTGACGGCCCGGATTCGATGGATCCAACGGCTGTTCCAAAGCTTAAATCTTCTTCTGATTTGTCAGGTAGATTGCCCTGGGAAAGGAAGCTCCAAAAACTTCAGGCTCCCGCAGTGATGATCTCATTGCTGGCAGGGCTGAATTGTGATAATTCGGTGCTGCAAGATGATCGTGCCAAATGCCTGCCTAAGTAGCCACAGATTTGTAAATGGCATCGAGCAGAATAACATCATATACAAAGCTCTCATATTTTTCCTTCTCTTTCATACGATGCCCTGTGTATCCTCGCCTACTTTCCAATCTTGGACTTCCAAAACACTTCCATGATCGGTTCAAAATATCTATAGCCCTGGAAGAACACCGGGAGACACTGATCAATGCAATCAACCCAGCATTTAGAGGACGAAGTTATGGGGTTTGTGTTTAAACAAGATGCCTCCCAGATTTTTTTGTGCTTTCGGAGAGATGCCAAGCATCCTTTTTCGCAAGAAGCTGGCTATGGCGTGCTGCAAGATGTATGTATCCACCTCTTCCAATAGGCAGGCCATGGAGAACATAGAACAAGCAATGCGCGGCCACCCTCAAGTTCCACTGCTCCATACTTTCCGCGACGAGCATTACGACAGGGTGGGCTACACTCTCGCCGGCAAGTGCGGCTCTACAGCAAGCCGTGAAAATTTTGCGGACGCCATAGTCGATATGATACGAGCCGCAATATTGAACATTGATCTCCAAAAGCAGTCTGGAAGCCATCCTCGTCTGGGTGTCGTGGACAATCTGTGCTTTCATCCACTGGGAAAGGAGGCTTCTATGGATCAAGCAGCTGAATTGGCTAGATCGTGTGCACGAAGTATTGGAGCTAAACTTCAAGGTAAGCAAAGCTGGTCTTTAAAGAAAAGAGAAACGAATCTATCTCGTTATCCAAGGCTAGATCGACTGACGCAGTACTTATGCTTTGTATGATCTCCAGTTCCAACTTTTCTTTATGGTGCTGCTAGTTATGAAAATGTCCCGCTGGACGCAATTCGCAGATCTCTGGGCTACTTTAAGCCGGCAAAGCCTGGGATTTGGCAAGGATCATCGAACAACACAAGGTTATCACAGCCTCCACAATTCGGCCCAGCTCATTTTCCTGCCAGCACTGGGATTATCACTGCGGGAGCTTGTCCCTGGATCGCCAACTACAACATCCCTCTCCAGACAGGCGATCTCCAAGCCGCTCGGAGAATCGCTCGCAGCGTGTCGCAGAGAGGCGGCGGCCTGGCTCACGTCCAGGCGATGGCTCTGGCTCACGGCGTGGACTCGATCGAGATTGCGTGCAACTTGCTCGATGTCCACGAGACCAGCCCTTCGAGTGTGCAGAGCTTCGTGGAGCTCCTGGCTAGAGACGAGCCATCAGTGGAACGAGTCTGCCTTGGCTACTTGACAAATCTCCAAGAGGAGTCCATCTTGGAGCTCGCAATGGAGAAGATGGAACCTTGAAAAGGATCTATGAGATTTCATAAATAATTATTTTATAAGAAATAAAGGCCATTTAAAGTTATTTCTAATCATTGTTTTTAAATGAATTTATTGAAGAAACCCTAGGGATTTTAGGTAAAGTATAATAGGTTTCGTGGATAATGGCTTTGCGAAGAGGAGTCAAGCAATCTCGTGAATGTGTGGAGCAACACTGGCTCAGCTTCTTTGAGGATCCTGAGCTATGGTGGGACAATAGATCTAAAAATGTGAGTGTTCTTCCCATGGAGCAATACCAGTACCTAGATTATAACTTGGCATTTCTCTACAGTGGGGCAACTATCCGGACTTCAAGCATTCGTCCACTGGAGTAGGACTGTGGATTGGTTCTTGCCCTGCTTGGCTGCAACCCAAGATTAAATGCCTAGAAGATGCTACAAATGGAGGTACTCGCAGAGCACACTACAAGAAAGATGATTATAGCATCGGGAAGAACTCGCATTCTCCGCTCACACAAGCTACCACCACGAGACAGCCATTGACATGCTTGGCGTTCCCAGAGAAGCTGCTGGCGGACTTGAAATCCTGCAACGATTTGGAGGGCGGGAGGGAGCTCGAGAAGTCTGCCGCTTCCCAGGGCCAGGACGCGAGCGTCTACGTCGCGGCAGCACTGGTCAGCATGTACGCAAGGTGCGGCAGCCTGATAGATGCGAGAAGAGTTTTCGAGGCCATGGAAACTCGGGATACCAGGACGTGGAACGCTTTGCTGCTCGGGTACGTCAACAATGGGATGGGGGTTGCTGCGCTCGAGCTGTTCGAGCGCATGGTTTCGGATGGGTGTGCTCCGGATTCCAGGACTTTTGTAGCAGCAGCGAAGGCTTGCGGGATCTCTGCGGCAGCGGAGTTGGCAGAGCAGCAGCAGCAGCAAGGATCCAAGGCTGCTATCAAAGCGAAAAAGAGTCTGGAAACCGGTGTGGCGATCCACGCTCAGGCAAGAACGAAGGGGTTCGATACAGACATATATGTGGCGAACACGCTCGTTGGGATGTACGCGAAGTGTGGGGACATGGCCGCTGCTCGCGATGTGTTCGGCAGCATCCAGCAGCCCAGCGTGGTCTCGTGGAACGCTTTGCTGCTGGGATGTGTGGAGAATGGAGAGGCCGAGCTCGCCTTGCAGCTCTATGAAGAGATGGTGATCGGCGCGGAAGGAGGAACAGCTCCTCCACTTTCCGCGGAGACGTATGTCGCAGCTTTGAAGGCTTGTGTGGCTCTAGGCGCGGAAGAGCGGTGTCTCAAATTTGGGAGAAGCATTCACTCGCTAGCGCTTGCCAGCGGCTGCATGTCGAATCTCTACGTGAAGAGCACCATGATCGACATGTATGCCAGGTGTGGAAGCCTCGAGGACGCCAAGAAGGTTTTCGACTCCTCGCCGCAGCAAAACGCAGTCACCTGGAATGCCTTGCTGTTTGGATACGTCGAGAATGGACGCGCACAGGCTGCTCTGGAACTCTTTGCGCGGATGAAATCGTCCACCAAAGATGGCGCTCGCTGTGCTCCCACTTCTCGGACTTATCTCGCAGCGGTGATGGCCTGCGCTGCTCTGGCTGCTCAAGAAGAAGCCACCGAGGTGGAGATTGGGCGGTTTGTGAGGCTTCAAACGCTGGAGAGAGGACGAGCTCTCCACCGCGAGGCCGTGAAGGTGGTGGGAGCGGACCTTGATTCAAGCGTCCTCTTCTCGAGCGCGCTGGTTGATATGTATGCGAAGTGTGGCTCCATGGTGGACGCCAGGCGGGTTTTCGATAGCGTGGCTCCGGCTAAGCGGGACGTTGTGCTCTGGACTGGCTTGATATGGGGATACGTCAATAGCGGGGAGAGCGAGCGAGCTTTGGAGCTTTACTCGCGCATGGCTGGCGATCAAGGCTCTCATGCTGGCATAAGCCCAAGTCCTCAAACTTATGGTGCTCTTCTCAAGGCCTGTGGCTCCGTCAACGCGCTGGAAGCTGGGGAGCAAATCCATGCCCAAATCGTGGGGCTCCTGGACAAGGATCCAATCCTGGTGACGTGTTTGATCGACTTCTACGGCAAAACAGGGAGAATGGCTGCTGCTCGCAAGGTGTTTGATCAGTGGATCTCCGTGACCAAGCATGATATCGCGGCCTGGAACGCGGTGATAGCGGGATATAGCCTCCAAGGTGATGCATTGGCGGTGTTTGAGATGCTGGAGAGAATGGAGGAGGAAGATGGCCTGGAGCCAAACGGGGTGACCTTCGTGTCGGTTTTGAGCGCTTGCAGCCATGCCGGTCTGGTCGAGGAGGCGAGGAAGTATTTTGCAGCGATGAGCAACAAGCATGGAATTTCTCCAGGGAGAGAGCACTACGTGTGCATGGTGGATCTGCTGGGCCGCGCAAACCGGTTTGGTGAGGCGGTAAACGTGATCGAATCCATGCCCATGAAGCCGGATGCGATCATCTGGAAGACGCTGCTCGGGGCGTGTCGAAAGTGGAAGAATGTGGCCGTGGGAGAGGTGGCTTTCGAGTCGCTGGTGGGGCTCGACGCGAGCAGCGCTGCGGCGTATGTTCTCATGGCCAACATATACTCGAGCACAGGCAAGCTCGACGAGAGGAGCAAAGTTCTTGCTAGAAGGAATGTGGCCAAGGCTTGGAGGAAGCCGGGCAAAAGCTGGTGGACCGATTCCAGTGCCCGGGTCCATAGCTTTTTGGTCGGGAACACCACTCACGAGCAGATTGGAGAGATCCGTGCCAAGCTCGAGGAATTGGTGGCAAGGATGAAGGAGAATGGATATGCTGCTGACGTTGAGAGTGTGCTCAAGGATGTGAGCGATGGCGAGAAGGAGGACGCGCTTTGCCAGCACAGCGAGAAGCTTGCAGTCGCTTGTGCGTTGATCAATTCCAAGCCAGGAAGCGTGGTCAGGATTGCAAAGAACTTGAGAGTGTGCCAGGATTGTCACAAAGCCACCGCAATCATCTCCAAGCTGGAGGAGAGGGAGATCGTGTGTAGAGATGCGAGCAGGCTCCATATTTTTAAAGATGGACAATGCTCATGTGGTGATTATTTATAAGACAAATAATTAGCTTGTAACAAAAGTGATGAATGAGCAAGTCATGGGCGCGCTCAAAACAATCTCTTGCTATCTCCAGAAAAAGATTACCCCAAATTCTGGGCTCAGTAATAGTCTTTTCGCAATATCCAGCTCTGAACCACAAGAGCAGTCTGAAATCCCCTGAACACCAAATCGCAATTGGGGATTCTGTCTCCAACTTTTATAATGATGTGGCCGTAATGGAAGCGGAAGGATTCTTGCTGAGGAGAACCGAATATAACCGCCCGTGATAAAATACTGCTGCAGTAATAATTCATTATGACGAATATCTTCTCTGCCATGCCAGATAAAGGACGTTCACCATGCCGAGGGCGTTCTGGATCCATGAAAGTAAGGAGCTCAACTCCATTGGAGAGGCAGATTTCCACCATGCGCCTCAACGGGACTAATCGAATCCAGCTCCAAGAGCTGGAAGGTGCAGAGACTATATCAGCTGGTAAGCGAGAAACTTCCGTCCCAAAGAAGCCAAAAGGGTTGCCACTCTTGACCAGCATTCGAATATCATTCCTGACGTGACATGGAAGACTGTTTGGCATGCAGATAGCCGCTAAGAGAAATCGACTACCAGTTTTCTCGCACCATTAGGTACTTCATATACCAAGTTCAGCTCCAGAGCACTTAGCAAATTCTCAGTATTTTTTCCACTGTCAACCTGCGGAGATAACGTAAGCACGTTGACTTTGTGTGTGCAGTTTCGGTCAATGATGATGAGTTTGTCATACTTCATGGCCAGGAAGTGCAAATCATGGCAGAGTTCAGCGAAGTTCACCTGAAAGTTGGGAAAAGCCACACGGATTTCTTCCCATTCCTGCCCAGGAAGATCAACCCACCCAAGGAGCTTCCTACCGGTTGATTTTAGTGCGTTGAGGAGTTGTTCATTTACTTTGCAGCGCCTAGGGACATTCTTGAGCATCTAACTTCAGTGCAATGGCAGAAACAGCGAAGCTACGATCAACCTGACCTCTCTCATATGCCATGTTCGCAGAATGCTGAAGATCCCGCTGCACTACTTCCTCAATGTCGCTAGAGGCAAACTGAATCAAGCAAGCCAGACTCTCGCACACACTCGTCTTGCACTTCTCCACCAGGGCAACACTTGATTCAAATATAAGGCAATGAGCTGCAAACATCAGTTTGATATTATCAACAGCAAGGTGTCTCTTTCACGTGAGTCACATCAGCCTGTAAGATCTGGTGACCCTTAGGCCACCACGTTCCACCACCTTGACTAGAGAGGATCTCCTGCTTAACAAAGATTTGTATGCAAAATTTTCAAATCTTTGCTTTTGGAGGGATGTGTGGCGGAATAGAAATGGCAATGGCGGCCATTGCCCCAAGCAACTTGTTTGGAAGCAGCTTCTTTGGAAGTGGGGTGGTGACCTCCTACAGTGACCTTCCAATGTAGGAGGAAGATCTTGTCTGCGGCTGGAGCAGTGATTAGTTGGCTGCTTGTGCTGCCGATTTCTCGTACAAGGGATTCATCAATCTGGGTGCAAGCCATCAGCAGCAGGAGTGCCTCTGGTGGGCTCTAGAGATTTTCATGAACAGCAACAGCATGGTTCCATAGTCCTCTTCAACACCACATCCAATAGTATTTAAGCTTAATGACACTTGACTTTAAAACCTTTTTATTAATAGAATGTTTCCCTTTATATTTAAACCCTAATAAACCTTTTTTAAGCCATTCTTTTTAATTGCTTATAAATTGTTGAAATCACTGAACCTCCCTCCAGCTTCATTCTTATCTGCTTGCTGCTTAGCACTTCTAAATGGCCTATCACCTTGATCCAGTGCCTCAAGCATCCAGCAATCAAGAGGGAATCAAGAAGCTCATCCTCCTCTTTATTGCTGGTGAAGACAACAAACTTCATAGTCCTATGATCAAAGAGCATGAGGCTTTTGATACCATGAAAACACATGCAAACACACAAGAAGGAACTATCTTGCAAATATGTGAATAGTTACATATAGATGGAACTACTGCCATGTGGGCATAACCATTACCACATTATCTCTACTATTTAATAATAGCTTCCAAAGGTAATTATTATGATGCCAAATAATAAGACAAAGAGGGCTAACCTCGCCTAGATTATGTTACATCTTCTCTTGAAATTCCTCACCACCCAACTAAGGTGGGCATTAGGATCAATGAGTTCACAAGACTACATGCTTGACTATGACAATGCGAATGTGTTGAGGAGATTTATGTTAGATGACGATGGCAATATCAAGATTTACAGCTTCAGCCCAAAGAATAAAAGTGACTTCCTAGAGCATCATCAAGGGTGGTTAGAGCAAGTGCATATACAAATCTCATAAGATCTTGATGAAATGCAAGCCACAACATTTTTAACTTGATCCACTTTGATATATTTGGCTCCACATAAAGCAAAAAACTCTGGAAGCAAATGCCAAATTGCATTATTAACTCAGATGACCCTTAACAAAAATGATGTAATTCTTAGAAGGCATCATCATAATTATCGGGAATCTCATATAAATGCCAAGCATCATCTCAAGCATGATAGGTGGCAATCACTATAAAGTGATCGAACCAACAATATATATTATCTCCAAGAAGAATAGAAGGAGTTGTATGATATATTGTGAATCAACCAAGTCTAATTGTTCAACTACAACCATGTAACATCAAGCAACTAGAGTCAAAAGAGGAAGAGGCTACTACTCTGCCATGAAGATGGAAAAAAGAAAAAGAGAAGAAACTAAAAAAACCTATAAAGAAAGTGAGATTTAAATAATATAAAAGTTAAATCTAAACCAAAAGCCCAAATCTAAACACTCCTTAGGGACAATCAAAGAGGCCCCTTACCTCTATCAATATGAGTGCATAGAATATGGAAATGAAATTAAAAAATGTGCATATCAATTAGCCTAAATATCAAGGCTTGTATCAATTTGATGGCTATCAAAATCCCACTATACTAATATTAATATATGGATTATAGCTGTACACTTTGGACTTCACAACTTATTATTTTTATATTATCATTTAATTCAAAAACTTAATATTGAATAAACAAACTAAGGGTTAAAGCATATTTATCAAGTTCCACATGTCCTCAGGATCTATAGCTTCAGCCCAAAGAACAAGAGTGACTCTTGGAGCATTGTTTGGCAAGTTGTTATGCACAAGTTATGCATAAGCTGTAGATCCTGAGGACATGTGGACAAAGACGCTTTAACCCTTAGTTTGTTTATTCAATATTAAGTTTTTGAATTAAATGATAATATAAAAATAATAAGTTATGAGGTCCAAAGTATATAGCTATAATCTATATACTAATATTAACATAGTGGGATTTTGGTAACTATCAGATTGGTTTCAATCCAGACCATTCACTCCTTGATATAAGCTAGGGTTTTTGGGTTAATTGATATGCACATTTTTAAATTTCATTTCCATATTCCATACACTCATATTAATAGAAGCGAAAGGCATTTTTTATTGTCCTTGAGGAGTGTTTGGATTTGGGCTTTGGTTTAGATTTAACTTTTATATTGTTTAAATCTTACTTTCCTTATAGCTTTCTTTAGTTTATTCTCTTTCTCTTTTTTCCATCTTCATGGTAGTGTAGCAGCCTCTTTCTCCTTTGACTCTAGAGTAATAATTAATGTAGTTGCTTGATGTTACATGGTTGTAGTTGAACAATTAGACTTGGTTGATTTACAACATATCGTACAACTCCTCTTACTCTTCCTGGAGATAATATGTATCGTTGGTTCAATCACTTTATAGTGATTGCCACCTATCATTCTTGAGATTATGCTTAGCATCTACATGAGTTTCCCACATGTCTCCAAAGAATGATGTTACAGTGGTACAATGGTTTGAGCATAGTTACTCATGTGGATTGGAGCATCCTCTCAGATGCTTTCAAGTGTGCATTTGGACATGCTAATGATTGTGATAATGCCTTCTAAGAATTGCATTATCTTCATCAAGGGTCGTCTAAGTCAATGATGTAATTTAGCATTTGCCTCCAGAGCTTTTTACTTTATGTGGAGCCAAATATGTTAGAATGGATCAAGTTGGAAATATTGTAGCTTGCACTTCATTAAAATCTTATGGGATTTGTGTATACACTTGCTCCAACAACCCTTGACAATGCTTTTTGAATAGCATAACTTTATAAGACATCACCTTTCCACTTGTCACTACATGTCCTTCAGCTTTACTTTTTGGATTCTATTTTGATGGAAGTTGATGCTATTGCTGTTTGTGTTTAAGGACAAGGACGAGGATGTGGTTGTGTCTATGATATCCATTGTTGCATATGTGATAAGATTGGCCATACGTATTGGCGTTGTCAACATTTTTTAGATTGGCGTCCTCTATTTCATAGATGGAGGCCTTGGCATCAACAATGTTCTATTAGTCCTGCTATAGTGGAAAGTCCTAGCACAAAGGTTCTTCAAAGAAATGAGGAGTCATAAAAGTATTAGAAGGTCCTTGTGCGAATAAGTCAGTGACCTCTTCATCTTTCTTTTGGGAGTACCATCAAAGGGTTCCTCAGCATAAATTCATCCAATGCTTGCTTTCTAAGCTCATATTTATAATAAGAAGTCATCTATTCTTTGTAAACACTCCTGAGTTTGGACTTCCCGGGAGGTCACCCAACCCAGTACTATTCAAACCCAAGGACGCTTAACCCCAAATATCCCAAGACCCTTAACCGATTGGAAAAGGGGGTGCACTCTTATTCATGGGCCCTTTCCCTCTATATTTGAACCCTATGGACCGTCTCTCGAGTCGTTCCCTTTGGTTGCTTACAATCCACCACGCTTCCCTGCAAGTTCACGCCCTCATGAACGGAAGCTAAGAGCCGCAGCTCTCCTGAGAGCCCCACTCTCTTGACACCCTACCCCTCGGGTCGAGCCCAGCAGGAGCAAACTGGACCAGCCAGATGTCAATCAACATATGGTGCGATTCCCTTAGCCAACCAACAAAGTCGGACCCGAGACCCCTCTGATACCAAATGTAAACACTCCTGAGTTTGGACTTCCCGGGAGGTCACCCAACCCAGTACTATTCAAACCCAAGGACGCTTAACCCCAAATATCCCAAGACCCTTAACCGATTGGAAAAGGGGGTGCACTCTTATTCATGGGCCCTTTCCCTCTATATTTGAACCCTATGGACCGTCTCTCGAGTCGTTCCCTTTGGTTGCTTACATTCTTCTCTCTATATTAGTTGATACATACTTAA